CACCTTTGGGGACTACACCGTTTCACTTGGTGTATGGAAAAACATGTCATCTTCCAGTGGAACTTGAGTACAAAGTTGCTTGGGCAGTGAAACTGCTGAATTTCGATGTAAGGAGTGCTCAGGAGAAGAGAGTGATGCAGTTGCATGAGCTGGAGGAAATTAGGCACCTGGCCTATGAAAACGCGAAGATTTACAAAGAGAGGACAAAAGCTTTCCATGAAAAGAGGATCCTCAACAGAATCAGGTATTGCTCTTTAACTCTAGATTGAAATTGTTTCCAGGGAAGCTGCGATCAAGATGGTCTAGACCATTCACCATCAAGGAGGTTCGACCATATGGAGCTGTAGTGTTGCTGGACACTAGAGGAGGGGAATTTGTAGTCAATGGACAGAGGCTAAAGCCATACCTCGCTGGTCCACACATCGCAGAAGGTGAATCACTCACCTTAAGCGATCCTCCTCACGCCTGAAGCTCCTCAAAGTCAAGCTAATGACTTAAAACAAGCGCTTGGTGGGAGGCAACCCACTGGTAAGAGTCTATAACTTTGTGTCTTTCAATTCTTAGCTACTAACTTCGTTTTCAGGTTCTTTCTTTTCATCAAAAAAAAAACAGGTAGAAGGTTTTCAGCATGAGAAAGGATGTGAGGAAGAAGAAGGAGCAACCAACCGGAACGCCTGCTCCATCTGCTGGGTTGGATGCTTGCAGCGTAAAAAATGACCAAGGAGCACCCCCACCTCTGTCAGAGCACCTGCTCCACGGGGTGCTCCAGACGAAAAATTGACGAAGGAGAAACCCAAGGGAAAACGGAGCACCTGCTCCGACACCTGCTCCAGACGAACAATTGACGAGGGAGCACCCAGCTCTGTTCCAGAGCACCTGCTCCACCAGGGTGCTCTACATGTGCGAACCAGGTAAGTTTTCTGAGTACTTCTCTAGCTTATTTTCACACCGGGGACGGTGTGAAGTAAGTTCGGGGGAGGATCGTGTCTCTTGTACTTCTTTCTTTTGCTTTCTTTCTTTCAGTACTTTCTTTGAGTCAGTTTTTAGTTTGTTTCTTTGAGTCATTTTGTTTCTTTGAGTCAGTTTGTTAGATGAGTCAAGTCAAAACTTGTGGGAACTAGGACCAAATCTGTGATGAGTGTAGACCATTTGTGAATTTTGACCATGTTATTTTTAGTGACCATTTCTGCAGAATCAGTCTAGATCCGACTAATGGAAAATCCAAGGACTGACCAGCAGACTAGAGGCATCCATGTTTCTGACAAAATCTATTGACCTGAGCTAATTTCTGAGCTCTTCCTTTTACCTCATCGATGTGACTGGTGTTCACAGGGCTTGACTCCTCATTCATACCTGACAAACAAGGACCTGTGTGATGAAAAGATTGGTACTCCTCTCCCTTATTCTAAGCGTTAACTAAAGCTGAAAAGATGAGATGATTTTCTGTCAAAGTAAAGGGGTAGGAAAATTTCCTGTGACCTCACTGTTTTATTTTAGAGAGAAATGATCACACAAAGATTGGAAGTGAGGGGTAGGAAAGTTTTCCGTGACCCCATTATTCACCTACAACCTTGACAAAAAAAAAAACGCCTGCAAATGAATAAGTCTGTGGGAGAGGAAGAATACCTTTGTGTGTTTGGTCAGTTTGTCATGGTATAGTATGAGAATGAGTTTAGAAGGCCCTTGGCACTGGTTTCATCAGTGAGACCCAGCGATGATGGGATATGGATAATGTCATGAAACTATGGATTTAATCTGGGAAGCTGCAATGTTTGCGGAGAAGTACATGGAGGTTCGATTTGGATTGATGTTGCAGCAGGTCTTTCGCACGCTGTGGTAAAATTTACGGTCTTCTGAGTTTTTGCGAGTTTCCACCTTTATCCAGTCACTTTTTAGGAATTGAATTTGAGTTTTTTTTAGGACAAACAAAGATCTAAGTCCGGGGGAGTTGATGAGTGGAGATTTTGGCTCATTCTAACCCATTTTTACTAATCGTTTTAGGAGTTTTTGGAGTCTTTTCAGGAAGTTTCAGGTGACTTAGAGGCCTTATCAGAGGATTGGAGTGTTTAGAAGGCATTGGAGCAAAAAAGAGATGAATCTGAGCAAAAAGGAGCTATTTCATATGCTTTTGGAGAAATCATCCACGGAGCACCTGCTCCCGGTTTGGACCTTTCGTGGAGCACCTGCTCCAACCTCTGAAGAAAAATAAGGAAACGATCTTACCCAATCCTAAGTCGCGTGAAATGGAATAAAAAGCCCAGAGCCGCCTGTGTTTTTACTATCACGTTTTCTACAGACTTTTTACGCTTTAGTTTTTGGAGAGATTTCTACTTGTAAGCTTAGGGAGAAGAATTCCTGCTACATTCTGAAAAGAATTCTGAACCCTGATATCTTTTCTGATTTATTTCATGAATTCCTTTTCATCTGTTGTTGTGTTTCATTCCTCCATGTTTGAGTAGTTCTCTTAACTAGATTAAGGTTTATTTCAAAGGGTTTCATGAGATTAGATGGAAATGGGCTTCATATCTGTTGTCTTCACCTCTGTTAGACTTAATGCTTAGGTTAAACTGATCACTCAATCTATGATCTTAGGTTAATCTATTCATCAAAAGTGTAATAGGTTGCTAGAAGAAACATTGGTGAGCGATTTGTCCTCAGCCTGCGAGAGTTGATGCTAAGGCAAATCGTGAACAGATCAAACCAGATTGTTAATGCTTGTCTGCAATTTTCTAGGTTCAAACGACAGTTTAGAATTTAGGTTGTTAGATAAAGTTATCGATGCCACGACAGTGGGTCGATATGCATTTCTGTTTGAGTTTGAGACTTGTTTAACCGTGCCCTGAATAGTCATCTGATTGTTATCTCTGAAATTCCTGCGAATTACCTTGATCTAGTGTTTGTCTCAATTTGAATTTAAATCGTTGTTTGCCGTTTTGTTTACTTCTTTAGTTTTCGCATCAAATCATCTTTGTCTTAGCTTTAATTCAATCCTTGCAAAGTCATATAGTAGCACTGGTCCTCTGGATTCCGAATCCTTTATATTACAACTTCATCACTGTTCTATTGCAGTAGAAACTAAGAGTACATCCAGTTAGAATCAAGAGTCATTTTTTTGAATTGTAAAAACTGAGTTAATCTGTATATGAACTTATTTTATAAGCGGGTAAAGTAAAATAAGCTATTTATTTAACCCATTGACATTAGACTAATATATCATTGTGACTGATACACAAAATATTATGATATTATAATCATCAAATCTAATTTCCCTTGCTTAATAGCTGAGTTTTATAATCTGACTACAAACTATAAAAATGCAGCTTTATCTTCTTTAACTATATATGTAAATAAATATAATATTCTTTAAACTTAGGTTTGATATAAAATTAATTAATATACAACAAACTATATTTAATTTTAAAATACAAATTATTATATATATAGTAGATTAAATTTACCACCTTTTTAGAAAACTAATATTTTGAATTGCGAGATTTTTTTGGTGGATATTAAAAAATTAGAGTAATAATTCATTCATATCAAACTAACCTGTTTACTTAACATGTTTGTACCATGGATTAAAATATAAAACTAATTATAATATGCACTGTTTAATAACTCTCACTTCACCACAAACTTTTTAAATTAAAAATCAATTTTCTCATGTCAAATTTTGATGAAAATAACTAAAAAAAATTATATTGTATATAATCAAGTAAATATAACAAATTATGGTAAAAAATATGTAATTGTGAATTTTTTTTATTTCTATGTTTTTTTAATTAAATATACTTTATGATATCAATTGAAACAAAATATATAAAAAACTACCATATTTTTTAATACAGAAATTAAATAATAAATATACTCTATTAAATGAGAAACAAAGACTTTCTATATTTTTTCAACAGATTTGAAAGATAACTATTTCCTTTCTTATTTTAATTATTCTTTGTTATTTGTAATGACATATTATGTAATATTTTACAAAATTAAGGTTATTTTTTTAAATATCTACTTAAATAATAATATAGAGATGAGTTTTTCTATAGAACATATAGCATGATCAAACTTATAGCTCCTTGTTCGTTTTGTTTGCTTCCACTGAGGGTAAACACTTAGAAAGAAAGAAAGACAAAGTGTATAATAAGAGATTATATGATCAAACAAAACGAAACTTCATTATGAGAAATACCAGACAAGATTAATTTCTTTCACCTGATCTCTTCTTGGTTTGGAAAGACACTCTTGTCTTCTGAAAAATTGAACCAAGGAACCTGATTGAATTCGAGAAAAACAATAATTTTTTTTTCGTATGTGTCAATATGTAGGTTTTCAGCTATAGTTTTTTTTTTTTTTCGTCAAGGGGTTTTCAGCTATAGTTTATGAAGACTCATTTATCTGGTTTTCATATGTAATATTTACGGAAACTAAGTTCAATATTCAAATGTGAACTAATTTTCTCCTCCTAGTGTTACATCCTCTCTCTCTTTGAGCTTTTTTCATCTCCTTTGATATCTTTGTTTCCTGTTCATTTACCGTTCCTGCATTCACCGATTCTCTTCTCATTCGAATCAACTTATTTCTGGTTTTCCTCTAGTGTTCTGTTCAAGCGTCGCTGCTTCCTCAATGTCTTTATTCAAAAATTATAACACTAAGAGGAAAATTAAGCCCATGAATGGGAGGAACTGGACTGGATGAGAATTATGCCCACACCTAACCAAAAATATATAATATCAAGTCGGTGCACAACCAATACATATTTGGATGGTTTAAAGTTAAAACACAATACTTTTTGGGCCTTAAGTTAGGGCTGACCCTTGATATATCTGTAAACCTAAAAATTTCCTTTTGTGAATTTTTTTTCTTGGAACTTTTACTTGTCACGATATATAATATACATGTATAAATAATTAAATACAAGACCATTAGGTCAATGGATCAAAGCCCAAGTTTCTAGTCTCTCTCTCTCCGTTCTATTATCAGCAAATACAACGATCATGAATAGAGAAGAAGGTTCAGAATCTTTCCCGGTAGATCTCATTCCCGAGATACTTTCAAGGTTGCCTGCAAAGTCTATCGGGAGGTTTCTTTGCGTGTCAAAACTATGGGGGTCCATACTTCACCGTCCAGACTTCAACGAGTTGTTTCTGACCAGGTCTCTTGCTCGTCCACGTCTCTTATTCGCCATCCAAGGAGTTGTAACCGGTGATTGGTTCTTTTTCTCGTCACCTCAACCTATAATCCATATGATCAGAAGGAGGAGTCTCTTGTATTTGCGGCTGATTCTCATTTAAAGCGTCATGAAAACTCGTGGTTGCACTTTGTGGTTATGCCTCTGGTTTGATCTGTTTCTGCCGTCTTACGTGGATCTTCGGAAGGAATTTTTATGAAACAGTTCATGTGATCTGTAACCCTAGCACAAGACAGTGTGTGAGCTTACCTAAACTGAGAACGAAGGACTTCTCAAGAAGCTTTTTAGGATTTGATCCAATTGACAAGCAATTCAAGGTATTGTGCATGGCTAATCCAAATTTAAATTATGGTCTAAGAATTTTGACATTAGGAAGTGGAAAACTGGGCTGGAGGAAGATCAAACCTCCCTTAACCCATCATCCTGCTGATGACTCGTCTCAACAGATATGCATCAATGGTGTTTTGTATTACTTTGCTTTGATGTGGGAAACGTTGGAAACGCATCATGTGATAGTTTGCTTTGATGTTAAGTCTGAAAAATTCAAGTCCATTGACGCAGCATCTAGTTATGATTGGGGTGTGAAGAAATTGATAAACTATAAGGGTAAATTAGGTGTGATTAGTTGGCATTATACTCACTCTGATGAAAGTGATACCTTTGAGTTTCTTATGTGGGTTCTAGAGGATGTTGAAAAACAAGAATGGTCGAAATATGTCTATACTTTGCCGTGTAAGTGCAATCGATTCGGTGTTGCTGGAATGACAGCTTCAGGGGAAATTGTTTTGTGGGAGAAATATACATTTAAACCGTCGTTTGATGTTCTTTACTTCAATCCCAGAAGCAACAGTACTATCTGCAGTGTTGAAATCCAAGGTAACAATGAAGTATTTGACATGAATAGACATAGCGTTTGCACATTTGTAGACCATGTGGAGACTCTTAAGTTTAATATTATGAACACAAGCCCACCCACCAGAACAGAAGCGTGAGTCCAAGAGTAGGAACGTTTGAGAGCATTAACAAATTTGATAAATTCGCAGGTCTCAGGAATCTGATTGCGATCCCTTGCTCCCCAAGTCGGTTAAAAGTCATATTTAATACTAGTTGTATGCTCTCTAGATATCAAAGACATTCTTAAGATTTAATTTTTTTTTCTTATGTCGGGTATTTGTTGATGTAAGTGTGACTTCTTATTTACATTTTGTGTAAGCGCTATCATTCCTTTGGCTTAGCATTTTGTTATTTCTTCTTTCTCGTTATCATAAAATTTATTTTTCTCCCGTAATGTGCTATGAGATATGAGACACTTTTTTTCTTTCTTCATGCATCCATTTTTCATTTAATATGGACTGCTAAAGATAATAAAAGGAAAAAAAGTATGATTAGCGACGGTGTACTAACAGAAGAGACTTCGTTTAATTGACAAAAAATGGCTTTGGTAAGAGGTTTCTTGGCTGGAAAGGAAATTCTTGGTTTGCTCTGTATAGCAGTAACGAGGAAAGAACTTTCAGCACCAAGGTTTCTTGCAATGTACTCCAGTTATTTTGTTTCTTTAGGTTCATGTATATCGATTTTATGACACAGCTCTGATGATGAGCAGTTCCACGAGAACGTAAATCCAACAGATTTTGGTTCCCGAATAGATATAAAACCAAGTTCTGGACTCTGTTTAATCAAACCCAATTCTGTCTTTGAGAGTGGTGAGCTGGAGATGAAAAAGATGGGTTTTGTTGCGGACTCTGCTTCTTTACTTTCTATTGATCTGTGGTTTTACACTTATTGTTGGTTGTAGATCACTATTGGAGACGAAGAAGCAAAGGAGAGAAGGAGCCAGAAGAGCATTTCTCGTCTCCCCCGACTTTTTATTTCTTGCTAGAGATCAGAGATAGAGACATTATTGGATTGCACATCAGGTACTGATTTTTTTTCACCAAATCTGTTCTTGCTTATGCAGTCACTATCTTCTTGGCATTTTTAATATTTTCTTTAATTGGTTACTGTTGTGCAGACTGAAAAGAGTGTTTGTTGCTTCGGGGAATGAATCCCATGGTTGAGGTACACAATATCTGAATATAACTTATGGTTTTGGATTTCTAGGTAAGGAGAAGAGATGAGGAGTTCAAAGTAGTAATAGAAAGATGGTAGTCATACAACGGACAAGGCCCCTGATTTTTCCTTTTAATGGTTGTCGTGTCAAAAGCTTTTGGGGCATTTACACTGCCACGAACTCTTGTCTTTGTTATCAACAAAGGTTAAGGTGTTATCAATTAATTGAAAAAAAAAAAACCATTTGTATAAATGACTAATGCAATTTGGAGATTATGTCTTGGACAACAAAACGGATAAGAAGATTATAAGGCATGTTTGGCTTGGTTATTTAATCGTCAGAAGTGAATCAATTCGATTCTGGGAGAAGAAAAACGCATTTTTGGGTTTCTAATTTCTAGAACATCTTCAATCAAAAACATCAGATAAAGCAAGATTCATATATATACTCATTGGATTGATCCAAAACAGAATGATGGAGAGATTAACAGGGACGAGAAGTCGAGAATCCACTAACAGATTCCTGAGCTTCGTGACTCGTGAAGAGGTAAACGCAAGTTCACGTGCGTTCCATTATTGTATAGGTTAGGTCTTAAAAATATTAGAGAAACAAAAAAAAAAACCCTTAAGCACTTCGGTTTAAAATTAAAAACTAAAAAAAGGAAAAACCCTATATTTATTTATATTAGAGTCTTCGGGATAATTTTGTATTCACATATTTCTCTCTCTGTCCGATTAGCACAACTTAAACAATCATGAGCAGAGGAAAGTATTCTAACTCCATCCCGGTTGATCTCATTATGGAGATATCCTCCAGATTGCCTGCAAAGTCAATCACGAGGTTTTGTTGCGTATCGAAGCTATGGAGTTCCATATTTCACAGTCCATATTTCAAGGACTTGTTCCTGACCAGATCCTCAAAATGTCCACGTCTCTTATTCGTCATCAAAGAAACTCATAACGGTGAGTGGCTCTTCTTCTCGTCACCTCAACCTCATAATCCATGTGAGAAGACGTCTCTTGTAGTTTCCGCTGGTTTTCGTTTGAAATCTTCTAAAGAATGGTCGCGGCTGGACTTTTGTGGCTATGCCTCTGGTTTGATCTGTTTCACACATCATATGTGGTCTGACAATGAAAAGAATATAGTTAATGTGATATGTAGCCCTAGCACAGCACAGCGTGTAAGTTTACCTAGACTGACAAGTGACGAGAATTCGAGAAGTTTTCTAGGTTTGATCCTATTGGCAAGCAATTCAAGGTACTGTCCAATCATAAAATTCTGACATTAAAAGCTGATAATATAGAGTATTGGAGGAAGATCCGATATTGTTCTTTAACCCATGATCCTAACTCTGAACCGATATGCATCAACGGGGTTTTGTATTATTTAGCTCAAGACTCTTCGACGATAGTTTGCTTTGATGTTAGGTCTGAAACATACAAATGCATTAAGTCAAAAGGCAATGAGCCTAAATTGATAAACTATAAGGGTAAATTAGGTGGAGTTCATTGGAACTATTATGCTTACGGTGGTATAAGTACTACCATTGAGCTACATCTATGGATTCTGGAGGATGAAGAGAGACAGGAATGGTCCGACTATTTTTACACTTGGCATGATAATAGATTCGTTGATCGCAATGATGTTTACGTTGCTGGAGTGACAGCTACAGGTGAAGTTGTGGTGTCGACGAAACGTATACGTGTACCGTTTTGTGTTTTGTTCATCAATCCCGTAAAGAACACTTTTCAAAGTGTTGAACTCGAAGGCTTTGGAGATATGATTGACATTAAAAACAATAAAGTGTATGCCTTTGTAGACCATGTAGAGGATCTCAACTTTGATATTGGGAAGACGATATATGATGCAACGTCTACAAGCCCTCCTGAAGAGAAGCGTAAACACAAGAGATCATCGACATCATTTGAAGCTCAAAGATTGTCAAGATGATGATTCATTTATCTACAGTTATGAAATTCTCAAGTTTTTTTTTTTATTCTTACATAATATTTAGTACCGAGTCTAGCTAATTTTGATGTGAGTGTGACTTCAAGTTCATGTCTGAGTTTTGTCATGCCGTTGGAATAACAATTTTGTTCTTTCTGTTTTTTTTTTTATAAAGCTCAAGAAAAATATATGCTCAGTATTCAGTTATACTCATCAAATATGACGGAATCATATGCGAAGGTTTTTTCTGTATTTAATTCCTCGAAATCCAAAGTTTACTATTCGGTTTAATCAGTTATAATCGTCAAAATATGACGGCACCATATGAGAGATATTAGTTAATTCTTCTTCTCCTATATAGTTTATTTTTTTTATGTAATTGTGTGTTGGATCCTAACCAGACTTTGCAGACCACGATTGCCACAGAGAAAAGCCAAAGTATTGAAACATAGCCAACCGTTTATTGATTAATTGGTTATTGTCTTTTTGATGCCGTTTTATGATTAATTGGTTATTGATGCGGTTTTAATTGGAGTCAAAACGTATGGACAAGATGTTAAAGATAGTCAGATTTTGGCTAAATTGTTGATTGCATTGATTTTTTTCCGGCTGTTGATTGCATTGCTTATCATGGAATATTATATGCAGAGAAGGTTATTGTCTGTTTGATTCAAAGGCGAAAAGATTTTTTTTGTGAATATAATTAGAGTCTCGTATAATTAAGCGGTTTTTTTGACACAAAATCTTGAATAAACAAGAAACAGAAAAAAAAAAAAAAAAAGAGTCTGGATCATCAGTTCTCCAAGGTGAAAAACACATCAATGTAATTTCAGTCGCAAATTACCCATTTGTTTTATGAGATTCATCATCTGCCCAGATCCACAACAGAAAGAGAAGAGACACGGATTTGTATTTCATAACTAAAATAAAATATTAATCGAAAAATCATAGGGAGAGATTTTGGATCGATCAGAACCTGTCGAGATATCACAATAACATCACCCAATGTTGTCAGTGGATTGACAGACTGTGAAATTTTTATCGTCACCTCGACCCAAAAAAAATCCCAAATTCCAGATTTCAAAAAATCTAATTGTGTACGAGGAACAAAAAAATGGTGTAGAAGCTCAGAACTTCTTAGAGGGATGTGTTTACCGTCAGCGCTGAAATTAAAATTCATCTCTAGACACGGTTTTTTTCACAGCAACTACAACACAGATTCCGAAGAAAACGAATTGAACAAACGAAAACCCAAAATAAAACTTATTAGACAAGAGTGGCGAGGAAACACTTATCTGTTTCAGGTTTCGGTGTATATATGCACACGAAAAAAAAAAAAAAAAAACGAGCTGAAGAAACCCTAATTTATGCGACCTCCTAGATTTTTTATATATTATTCATTGGCTATTTAAAATATTTATCTCTTTTTACATGTTAGAGTCGGTTGCACCCCAATCGGTTTAAACCACCTCAGATATATCGGAGAACCGATTTTGCAAGGAGGACCAGCGATCCATTAAGTATGGGCCGAGTCGCGCATGAGAAGAATAGGCCAAGCTATAAATGGGCTGAGCCGTGAGAAGGAAGTAAGTGAACCGAGCCGCGCATGAGAAGAATAGGCCAAACTGTAAACGGGCCGAGCCGTGAGGAGGAAGTAAGTGAACCGAGCCGCGTGAAGAATATTCAAATGGGCCGAGCCGTGCGTAAAAGAAGATGGGCCGAGCTGCGCACAAGAGAAAGTGGGCCGAGCCGGAAGATCAAGCCTACTGAAATCCTAGGCAAAAACGTTATGACGGTGGTCGTACGACAAGATAAAGGAATATTCCAAAAATCTCTCTCAGAATTTTCAGGAGAGACGGTTTAAAGAGTTAGTATAAATAAGCGACTTACACAATTCATTAAATTTTGGCAATCCTAAGCAATAAAGACTAAACACTTTCACGGCAAAGAAAACCTTCTTTCAATCTTACTGTTCTTGCGATTAACCTAGAAATTTCGGATCCCTTAATTTTTTCTTACAAATCTTTAGTTGTGCGAGTTTTGGCTCACACAATTTGGCGCCGCCTGTGGGGACTCAAAAATTTCTTACTCTAAATTGACAAGACTTTAAGCTCCGAAGAACATGGCGAGCAACACCCTCGACGATAACAACAACAACAACAACAACGATAACGGCGCGGAGAAGGATGCTCCAGCATCAGGCACAACGACGGCAACGACCGAAACCCAAGAGGAGATGCAAAACATGATGGCTGCATTGATGAAGAAGATCGACGAGCAAGACAAAAGAAACGAGGCGATTACAGAGAGGCTCGACACGATGACGGCCGAGCGACGACACCCAACTTGGAGAGCCAGAATCTCCGACCCGATGGATGAAATCCAGAGACGCTTTGATTTCTCAACGCCTGCAGAGGCCTCAGGGAGCGGCGCGAGAAACCCCTTGGCTCCACCTTTCTTTCGTCCCCTCGGCGAACAGACTCCCGCGGCAACCCGAGTTAACATAATCGAGCCGCCTCCACTCCGTCGGAACTCAAGGCGACGAGCTGGCGAAGAGGAGAATGACGCAATCGACGTGGACGCCCAACAGAACGATGGAACCACAAACTCGCAACAAAACAGCTCGGCTCGGCGAATAAGCCAAGAATAGCTCGCCTCGGCACTAAACGGCGTCCGGACTAACAAAATCATCGATCCGGCTCGCGGCGACAACCCGACTGAAGAAGAAGAAAACCTCCAATGGATCGAGCAGGCGGAACGCGAAGACGAGCTGAGGAGAGAAGAGCGGGAGCGACTCCCCCAATCAAAAGGAATGACTCACGCGCAAACCCTTGAAATCAAAGAGCTGCGAGCCTCAATGGCTCGGACAGTAGCCAAGATACGCGCCATGAAGTCTCAAGTGCACAACAGCACCCGAGATCGATCGGATGCTTGAAGAAACCCAGAGAACACCATTCACGGCGAGAATCACGGAGGCTAAGATTCCCGAGCCCGGGAAGGTGAGAATTCCGTTCTACGAAGGAACGACCGATCCGAAAGCACACATCACAGCGTTTTCGGATAGCAATGGGACGAGCTTTCACAAAGAATGCTGCCAAACTGACCGAGCGAGAAGTAGATGCCGGATAGAAGAACTTCTGATGCCGACCTGTGGACGCTATCCCAAGGACCGAACGAACCGCTTCGGGATTACATGGCAAGGTTCAAGGCGGTCGTATCCAAAATTGAAGGAATAAGCGACAAGACTGCACTCGAGGCTCTGAAACGGTCTTTGTGGTTCAAATCCGAATTCCGACGGGAAATGGCACTCAACACGCCACAAACGATTCAAGATGCCTTGCATCAGTCATCAGACTTCGTCGTAAACGAGGAAGAGATGAAAAATCTGGACGAGCAGTACGAAGCAACGAAAGCAGCGATCCACAGCTCAATTTTGATGCGCCCCCCGAAGAAAGGGAACCCATCAAACAACGCAACAACGCAGAGCTCGGACGAACCTGGAAGCGGTGGTGCCCATAACTACCAAGTAGGCACTGGACGCGGAAGAGGAGAGCTGCGCAACAACACTTGGGTAAGAAGGCCTACCAGCTATGACGAAAAGGCATTCTGCGAGTATCACCAGACCTACGGGTATTCAACGGCACAATGCCGAACTCTAGGAGAAAAACTCGCAGCTAAGATGGCGGCAAGAGAGCTTCAGAACACGGTTAACCTCAAAGACCTCGTCCCTAATAAACCAAAAGAAGGAGCCGAGCCGAGCGGCGCGGCAGAACCCGCAAATCCTCCCCGACGGGGCGATAACACCAAGCGCGACAGGAGAGGCGAACCCGAAGAGCGACCCGCGCCGAGGCAAAGGATCAACATGATCATGGGTGGATCTCAATATTACCAAGACACGGTGTCCTCTAAGCTTATTAGCGCCGAGCCGAAGCGAAGGAAAATTGGACAGAACCGACCGATATCCCGAATATGGTGATCTCCTTCGCGTGGAGGAAACGGCAGGAATCGATAGACCACACAACGATCCACTAGTGATCGAATTGACGATCAGGGATCACGATGTAGCGAGGGTGCTCATCGATACTGGGAGCTCAGTAGACGTCATTTTCAGGGAGACACTCAGAAGGATGGGAATCGATCTCGCCGAGGTGACGGCGATCCCCAAACCTCTAACCGAATTTTCAGGAGAAACAACGATGACTATGGGAACGATTAGGCTCCCTGTGGTAGCTGGCGGGAACGATTAGGCTCCCAGTGGTAGCTGGCGGAGTCACTAGGATCGTCAAATTTTGCGTCACCGATTACCCAGCAATCTACAATGTGATTATGGGAACTCCATGGATCAACGCGATGAGGGCGGTCCCTTCCACCTATCACCTCTGCCTCAAATTCCCGACTCCAGCAGGCATCAAAACGATCTGGGGAAATCAGAAGGAGTCGCGAATGTGCTGCTTAGCGGAGCACAAGCTGAGGAACCCCGTCACCGACGCACGAGCAGACATAGATCATAAAAAGATGAAGACAGACCGAGAGCCTGCGAACGAGCTCTCGAAACTCTTATAGCAGTTACAAATTGCGGAAAGCCGCGAAACGCGCGCCGAGCCGTTATGTGATGCAGTGGACTCGGTGTGCATAGACGAAGCGCGTCCAGAACAATGCGTCGAAATCGGAGCAAAACTAGAAGAGCCTCTGAGAAGCAAACTTCTTTCCCTCCTCAAAGAGAACATCAACACTTTTTCCTGGACAGCGGAAGATATGCCGGGCATAAACATCGACGTGACCTGTCACGAGCTGAACGTGGACCCAACCTTCAAACCAATCAAGCAAAAAAGAAAGAAACTCGGACCCGAACGAGCTAAAACAGTTAACGACGAAGTGGAGAGATTGCTCAAAGTAGGATCAATCGCCGAGGCCAAATATCCAGACTGGCTTGCGAATCCAGTGGTTGTGAAGAAGAAGAACGGCAAGTGGCGGGTCTGTGTAGATTTCAATGACCTCAACAAGGCGTGCCCAAAAGACAGTTTCCCTCTACCGCACATCGACCGTCTCGTCGAAGCCACTGCAGGAAATAGGCTGTTAACATTTATGGACGCGTTCTCCGGCTACAACCAAATCCTGATGCATCCTGATGATCGGGAAAAAATGGCATTCATAACTGATCGCGGGATATACTGCTACAAAGTCATGCCGTTCGGGCTCAAGAACGCAGAAGCAACATATCAACGACTCGTCAATAAAATGTTCGCGGATCAGCTCGGAAAAACCATGGAGATATACATTGACGATATGTTAGTCAAATCACTCGAAGAGAAAGACCATATCGCGCATCTACGAGAATGCTTCGAGCAGTTGAACAAACACAACATGAAACTAAACCCGGCGAAGTGTAGATTTGTGGTCACCTCGGGAGAGTTTCTCGGCTATCTGGTAACTCACCGAGGCATTGAAGCGAATCCCAAACAGATCAAGGCATTAATCGAGATGCCCTCTCCAAAGACGAAGCGAGAAGTGCAAAGGCTCACAGGAAGGGTTGCTGCGCTAAATAGGTTCATCTCCCGTTCCACCGACAAGTGCCTGCCTTTCTACGACACCCTTCGGGGAAATAAGAAATTCGAGTGGGACGAGCGATGCGAAGCAGCTTTCCATGAATTGAAGAGTTATCTGGCAAGCCCGCCTATCTTGTCGAAACCAGTTGAAGGAGAACCTCTCTTCCTCTACATCGTCGTATCTGCTACAGCTGTGAGTGGAGTGCTTATAAGAGAAGAGCGATCCGAGCAAAAACTAATTTTCTACGTCAGCCAGACACTGACCAACGCCGAGACCCGTTACCCCCAGATCGAGAAAGTCACCCTAGCCGTCGTAGTCTCGACTCGCAAGCTGCGTCCGTATTTTCAATCACATTTGATTGTTGTGCTCGCTACACTCCCGCTGCGCTCGATCCTGGACAGCCCGAGCCAATCCGGACGGCTCGCCAAATGGGCCATAGAGTTGAGTGAGTACGACATCGAGAATCAGAACAGGTCGTCTGTAAAATCACAGGTGCTCGCAGATTTTCTGATCGAACTTCCGGCCGAGGCGACGAACGAGCCAACCCCAGACAAAGTATGGACGCTGCACGTCGACGGCTCGTCGTCTAAACACAGCTTGGGGATAGGAATCCGTCTCACCTCTCCCACCGGAGAAATATTGGAGCAGTCTTTTCGCTTGAACTTCCAAGCCTCGAACAACGAAGCAGAATACGAAGCGCTGATCACCGGCATACGACTAGCGCAGGGAATCGGAGTTTGAAAGATAAGAATCTTTTGCGATTCACAACTTGTAGCATGTCAATTCAACGGAGAATACGAGGCGAAAGACGGACGAATGGGAGCTTACCTCAAGGTGGTCCGAGAGTTGGTGCAAAAGTTCGACGAGTTCGAGCTCACACAAATACCCCAACGTGAAAACACCTCGGCTGATGCCTTGGCAGCACTCGCTTCGACTTCAGACCCGGATCTCTGACGGACAATCCCAGTCGAATTCATCGAACGTCCTAGCATCGAAGAGGTAGAAGGAGTTCGGCTGATAAATTCCCTCGAGCAAGAACCAGACAGCGACGAAGCGATCGCGATGGATGAAGACACCTCACCAGCCGACCTGGAGTACGGCTGCGACAAAGAATGGCTCGCAGCCATCCGAGTATATATCGCCGATGGAGAAGTACCAACCGACAAGTGGGAAGCCCGCAAATTAAAGGCCCAGGCCGCGCGATATGTCCTCGTCGACGGCAAGGTATTTAAATGGAGATTTTCAAGACCGGTCATGACATGCGTCGAAGGACCGGAGGCAAGAAAGATCATGCACGAAGTGCACGGCGGCGCGTGCGGAAACCATTCTAGCGGAAGGTCGCTCGCGATCAAGATAAAACAACACAGTTACTTCTGGCCTACGATGGTCAAGGACTGCGAGAAGTTTACGGCAAAGTGCGAGAAGTGTCAACGGCACGCACCAACAATTCACCAACCTACCGAGCTGCTGTCATCGATCTCATTACCTTATCCTTTCATGAGATGGTCGATGGATATAGTCGGACCTCTACATCGATCGAAGCAGAAGCGCTTTCTGCTCGTCCTCACGGATTATTTTTCTAAGTGGGTTGAGGCCGATTCCTACGCGAGCATAAAGGATGCTCAAGTCGAACACTTCGTCTGGAAAAATATCATCTACAGACACGGGGTCCCCTACGAGATCCCAGTTCATCTCAACGCGTTTTGAAGCTTTCTGCGAGAAATGGAAAATCCGTTTGAGCAAATCTACGCCAAGATATCCTCAAGGGAACGGACAAGCCGAAGCAGCCAACAAGACGATCCTAGACGGTCTGAAAAAGAGGCTCGACGCCAAGATAGGACGATGGGCAGACGAGCTCGAAGGAGTCCTTTGGTTGATCGGACAACTCCGCGCCGAGCCACCGGAGAAACCCCATTCGCTCTAGTCTATGGAGCGGAATGCGTAATCCCCCCCGAGGTGGATTTCCTAGGTATTCGACGAAGACTTCTGCCAGGACAAGAGGGCTTGAATCACTTAATGATGCTGGACGAACTCGATTTGGTCAACGAAAGGCGCGACTAGGCTCTAAACTGAATTCAGAACTACCAACAAGCAACTGCGAGATACTACAACAAAAATGTCTGCAGTCGAAGATTTAAAGAAGGAGAGCTCGTCCTTCGAAAAGTTTTCCAAAACACTGCCGAGAAGAATGCAGGAAAGCTCGGAGCAAATTGGGAAGGTCCTTACAAGATTACAAAAATAATTCGCCCAGGAGTTTACGAACTTGCGACGGTAGCTAACGAAGCAATTCCAAGGCTACAACACGGTCAACATTAACTACGGGACGGCTTGATCCCTGCAAAGGGTACGTAGGCAGCCCGTCCTCGGACGGGTTCAGCTGTCCTCCCTCCTAAAAAGGGGGGGAGTGGGTACGTATACACATACCTTTATTTAACTCTACAATTTTAGCTCGTCTAGCGCCTCTCGGAACATTGCCACTTCGGCCAGTTTTCTGTTTGTTTTAAATCAGCTACTTATTTCATGTTCACCTTGGAATTCTAATTCGTTCATTGTCGCTTCGGCTAGTTTCTCATTCGTTTTAAATCGGCTACTTATTTCATGTTCGCCTCGGATTTTTAATTCGTTCATTCATCACTTCAGCAAGTTATTATCACTTCAACAAGTTGTCATGACTTGATCGCCTCGGACTTTTACTTATCCTTGTATTCACTTCAGCAAACTAAGTCTCCAAACACCTCGGCTCATTGCGGGCCACAGCGAGGCAACAGTCACAAAGTTCTCTAAATGGATTTTTAACCACCTTTCCTAGGACGAGGGTGCAAGTTACATCCTCTATGGATTAAAATCAAGCGCGCTATACAAATTCAAGACCAAAAACATATCGGTCACCACGGTTCGTCATCGCACACGAGATTATAAGTCGAGACTACATCGCTTTCTCTAAAACCGGAACGAACTCTTAAAACCCGGCTAAACACATTCACCCCCTCAGGAACGCTGGTCTATAATCAAACTTTGATATCGCCTCAGGACGTAGACCTTGGCAACAGGAGATTATGAGAAGAAAAGAAGGAGCTCACCTATTTATAGAACGACCGCAGCGCGTGGAGTCCGCGTAAACCTCGGGATGGCACAGAGGTAATAAATGAAGACGCGTGAAGTCTGCGGCGAATGCATAACTTCCTGGCGCATCCTTCATACGTGCCAACACCCAAACGTCTTGGAGAGAACTAACGACTGCTTAACGTTTCCCGTATGAAGTTGCCCAGGTAAACCGAGCCCACAACGGAGCTTTGGTTATCTGAGAATATCTCATCGAGCTGTGTGAACCAAACCTTGCTTTGTCGATACGGCTCGACAGTTTCATAAGAACGCCTCGTCGTTATCGTTAACATGAAACGGCTCGGCAACTTCCTCAAAACGCCTTGTCGTTATCGTTAGCGCAAAACGGCTCGACAACTTCCTCAAAACGCCTCGTCGTTACCTTGAAACACGGCTCGACAACTTCCTCAAAACGCCTCGTTGTTATCGTTAGCGCAAAACGGCTCGGCAACTTCCTCAAAACGCCTCGTCGTTATCGTTAGCGCAAAACGGCTTGGCAACTTCCTCAAAACGCCTCGTCGTTACCTTGAAACACGGCTCGGCAACTTTCCAAAAAAGGCGCCTCGTCCTTAACAAAACGCCTCGTCGTTATCGTTAACACGAAACGGATCGGCAACTTTATTAACATAAACGCCTCGTCGTTAACACGGAACGGCTCGGCAACTTTCTCGAAAAAATGGCTCGTCGTTACCTCCGCCAAAACAGCTCGGCATTGCCCCTCATGACAGTCACCTCGCCTCCATAACGGCTCGGCAATCTCGTTCTCGATACGTCTCGCCTGTGATCACCCTGCGACATGTTCAGCTCGATGGTTTAATCCCACGACTAGGAATAATAAATCTCGTCACTCTCACCTCCGAAATTGACGAGCTGGAGGGCTAACTGTTGGGGTCGGTTTCACCCCAATCGGTTTAAACCACCTTAGGAATATCGGAGAGCCGATTTTGCAAGGAGGACCAGCGATCTATTAAGTATGGGCCAGACCTTCCTCCACTTTGGCGAGACGCTCCTGAAACTTAGCCGTCAACTCGCGCCTCACCTCCTTCTTGGCCCGCTTCACTTTAGCCTCTTCAACAAAGCCACCTCGGCGCCTTTGGCTCTCCTGGATTCTTCAAGACAAGTCACCACAGATGACACCTTGTCAACGTTGGCTCGGAGAATTATTTCTCCTCTTCTAGCTTCTTAATCTTGGGAGCAATCTCATCAGCAGCTCGGGCGACTTCGTCCCCCTCATGCCTCGGTGGGTCATCCCGAGGTACCGCCTCGGTCTCCGCAAGAGCTGCTTGTTCGGCTCTCCTGGCAATCTCCTCAGCTTCGTGTTGCTTCTTATCCCTGAGCGTAATGATCACCATTTTCTCTCACGTATCTCCCGATGAATTTGATGAAGAGGAACTGATAGATACCCCGGCGAAGATAGCTCGGGCTCTCTCTACTCTCTCGAAAGAAAAATGCTTTCTCTAGTTAACCTTCCGAGTCGCAAGAGTATCTCGAACAGAGAAAAGGTCGTTGGGAACAGGAGGAAGAAAACTCCAAACTGCAAAACAACATCAAAACGACTAAGTTAGAAGATGGAAATCGCACCATAACAAGCTCTGAGCCAAAACAAGGCTTCGGAGCGACAACCAAGTGGTCCCCAAACGGTCTTCGTCTTATTTACAAAATCCTCGCCCACCGACGCCTCGTTCACCAAAACATAGAAGAAACGTTCAGTCCAAAACTGATATTTGCTCGGGAAACCGCCTATGATCCGGCGATTGGATTTATTGGAAATATAAAATCTGCCTCCTCCCGGGGCTCCCCGAATTTTCAACAGATTGAGCAGATGACCGAGCTCGATTTCGCCACCGCATTCGAAGCTCCGAACCAGGATGTCGATCATATGTTGCAAACCCCTCGGCATAATCTGCCCGATCGAAATCTCATGCTCCCACAAGTATTCAAGGATAACTCTGGGGATTGGGAACCATAGGAAGCAGAGCTCGAAAAACGCCTCGTATAAGGTGAAATGGTTATCAGGAGGCTTGTCGGCTCGGTCACTCTTCTCTGGAACGACAAATTCAACCGCTTCGGATATTCTAAAACGATGGTGCAACGCCTCGAGCGACTTGAGGGAAGAGAGTGAAGAACCGGGAGGATCGGGTTTTTGCCTTTTTACCCGTTTAGGTTTTCTCTTTCCAGATGAAAAGGCGCCTCAGGATGCCATAAGCCGCTCTAATTCGAGCCTCGACTCAACCGGGTCGAAAGGAAAAACTTCTTCCTCGGCCTTAACCACAGCGTAATCAACCTCCTCTTGGTTGACAGGACCTCGATGACGACTCATCAAAGCAGACGCCTCGTTATTAACGGAACAAGTGCCTGAAGGGCTCGGAGAATTCGACACATCGTGATCCTCGGCAGAATTTTTGGAAGGGCTCGGCGAAACAGATGCCTTGGAGGATCCAGTCATGCTCCGCACTGCGACATCCGAACGACTCGTTTCATAAAAGAATAGGGGTTCAAGCGGATCACCCGAACGGCTCGACATATTTTACAGCTCGTACCAAATTTACAGCGTTTTACAACAAGGTTCGCCGGAAAAAGATCTGAGACGGCGGAAACCTCGGAACCCTAGCCGGAAAATAAATAAACTAGAGAGAGAACGAAGAGAGAAGGGAGAGCTACCTTTTAGTAAAAATGAGAGATCTAAAGATTATGAGAAGAGAAGAAGGAGCTCACCTATTTATAGAACGACCGCAGCGCGTGGAGTCCGCGTAAACCTCGGGATGGCGCAGAGGTAATAAATGAAGGCGCGTGAAGTCTGCGGCGAATGCATAACTTCCTGGCGCGTCCTTCATACGCGCCAACACTCAAACGTCTTGGAGAGAACTAACGACTGCTAAACGTTTCCCGTATGAAGTTGCCCAGGTAAACCGAGCCCACAACGCAGCTTTGGTTATCTGAGAATATCTCATCGAGCTGTGTGAACCAAACCATGCTTTGTCGATACGGCTCGACAATTTCATAAGAACGCCTCGTCGTTATCGATAACACAAAACGGCTCGGCAACTTCCTCAAAACGCCTTGTCGTTATCGTTAGCGCAAAACGGCTCGACAACTTCCTCAAAACGCCTCGTCGTTACCTTGAAACACGGCTCGGCCACTTCCTCAAAACGCCTCGTCGTTATCGTTAGCGCAAAACGGCTCGGCAACTTCCTCAAAACGCCTCGTCGTTATCGTTAGCGCAAAACGGCTTGGCAACTTCCTCAAAACGCCTCGTCGTTACCTTGAAACACGGCTCGACAACTTTCCAAAAAAGACGCCTCGTCCTTAACAAAACGCCTCGTCGTTATCGTTAACACGAAACGGCTCGGAAACTTTATTAACATAAACACCTCGTCGTTAACACAAAACGGCTCGGCAACTTTCTCGAAAAAATGCCTCGTCGTTACCTCCGCCAAAACAGCTCAGCATTGCCCCTCATGACAGTCACCTCGCCTCCATAACGGCTCGGCAATCTTGTTCTCGATACGTCTCGCCTGTGATCACCCCGTGACATGTTCAGCTCGATGGTTTAATCCCACGACTAGGAATAATAAATCTCGTCACTCTCACCTCCGAAATTGACGAGCTGGAGGGCTAACTGTTGGGGTCGGTTTCACCCCAATCGGTTTAAACCACCTCAGGAATATCGGAGAGCCGATTTTGCAAGGAGGACCAGCGATCCATTAAGTATGGGCCGAGCCGCGCATAAGAAGAATAGGCCAAGTTGTAAACGGGCCGAGCCGTGAGGAGGAAGTAAGTGAACCGAGCCGCGCATGAGAAGAATATGCCAAGCTGTAAACGGGTCGAGCCGTGAGGAGGAAGTAAGTGAACTGAGCCGCGTGAAGAATATTCAAATGGGCCAAGCCGTGCGTAAAAGAAGATGGGCCGAGCTGCGCACAAGAGAAAGTGGGCCGAGCCGGAAGATGCGAGCCTACTGAAACCCTAGGCAAAAACGTTATGTCGGTGGCCGCACGACAAGATAAGGGAATATTCCAAAAATCTCTCCCAAGATTTTCGGGAGAGGCGGTTTAAAGAGTTAGTATAAATAAGCGACTTACACAATTCATTATGTAACTTTTGGCAACCCTAAGCAATAAAGACTAAACACTTTCACGGCAAAGAAAACCCTCTTTCAATCTTACTGTTCTTGCGATTAACCTTAATTTTTCCTTAAAAATCTTTGGTTGTGCGAGTTTTGACTCACACATTACATATGGAGTATATTTTTCTTTCCTTTTTGTCACCTATTTATGAATTATTACAAATTTGTGTTTAAATATAAATTGTGTTTTCAGTGTGGAAATTGTTATCAAATCTTACGAATTTATAAATTACCAACAAATCATGAGATATGTTTTTAAAAAGTATAACTACTAGAAATTAACCCGCATAATATATACGCGAGATTATAATATTTTAAATAATATTTTAATAATTAATATCAAAATTTTAGTTAATAAAGTTTATCGGTACATAGAAATATGCTTATAGTTATATCATTCAAAAATTTTAAATTCACCGAATATAAATTTAATTTATTCTTGATTGATGAATTTTATCATATTTGAAAATAATAATAATAAATAGTATAAATAAAAAAATAAATTGTTTATTAATAACTGAGTTTTGTAGTCTGTTCGTAAATTATAAAAATTAAATTTACCTTTTTTAATTATATATGAAAAGAGTATAATATTTGTAAAAATTACGTTTAATATATAACAAATAATAAAAATACAACAAAATATATTTAATTTTAAAAGATAAATTATAATATTTATTAGATTGAATATATACCACCTATTTTAAAATTAATATTTGGAATCGCAAAATTTATTTTTGGATATTAAAAAATTAGAATCATTAATTTTTCATATGGAAGTAACACGTCTATTTAACTTATTTGTACTTTATTAAAATATAACTTAAAAATAATTCTAATATGTATTCTTTAATGATTCACACTTCATCACAAACTTTTTTTATTTAAAAAAAATAAATTTCTTATGTCAAATTTTTGGTAAAAATAATTTTTGTCTATAATCAATTAACATAGCAAATTATACTTATAAAATATTTTACTATATTTCAATATTATAATTTTTAATCTTGACTTTTTACATTATTCATTTGAAATAAATAACATAAAAAATTATCATATTTTTAAATTTAAAAATAAAATGGTAAATATACTTTAATAAATGAGAATCAAAAACTTTCTATATTGTTTTAAATAGATTTGAAAAACAATTATATCTTTTCTTATTTTAATTATTCTTTGTTATTTGTAATGGCAAATTATGTAATAACTTACATATTTAAGTTTATTTTTAAAAATGTCTACTCAAATAATAATATAGAGATGACTTGCTTTATTGATAATTATATCTACATTTTAAACATCACTGATATTTTTTTCTTTTGTAGTGCATATATCAAGATGAATGTACACAGACAGAAGTTTAAGATCCGAAGTGGTATAAACGATGAGGCAAAGCATTGTCCGCTCATTAATTGGATCAGATCAAGTCTAATTTCTTTTGGAGCGATTTTGGAAACGCACGTGCAGGAACCTAACCTAAACCACATACTATATAAGTTAGGGCCGGAGTGGTCCATTATTAGTAACTATCTGTATTCTCCTCTTGGTAAAATCTGGGTTATCTTCAAGCTTCCTACTAAGGTTAAGTTGTTAACTGTGTCTTTGCAATCTATAACCGTTGAGGTCCTTTTGGAGGATGGTCACAGTTTTATCTACACGGCTGTCTATGCATGTAATTCTTTGGAGATCAGGCGAGAGTTATGGGACTCCCTAAGGGTTTTGTTCTCGTCCCTTCTCTTATCTTCTCGTCCTTGGCTGGTGAATGGTGCCTTTAACGAGATCCTTTATCCATCCAAGACCTCCAACTCAGCCATCTTTAGGTCTTCTTCTGCTATGAGAGCTTTTGGGGAGTGTCTTGCTGATGTGGGTCTTTTCGACCTTCTTTTCCAAGGCCCTCGTTTTACCTGGTCCAACCACCAACCCAAAGATCCCATCTGCAAGAGAATTGATAGGTGTCTTGTCAATGGCCCTTGGCTGATGGAGTTTCCTTTGAGCCGTTGTGAATTTGAAGCCCCGTTATTTTCGGATCATTGCCCGTGTCGCATCCAGATTCTCCCCAAGCCGCGTTCTTTTGGTAACAGGCCTTCATGTTTTATAATATGCTTATTAAACTCCCTTCGTTCTGTGAGGTTGTTGGTAATGCTTGGGAAAGGGCGGGTGACTCAGTTTCTAACTTGGGTGATCTGTGTTTCAAGCTCAAGCAGCTTAAGCTTCCCTTAAAGTCCTTGTGTAAGGAGAACTATAGTGATTTAGAGAAGAGGGTGCTTGCGGCAAATGATATCCTTCTCTCTGCCCAGGTTCTTGCTCTTAACGATCCCTCGGAAGCAAATCTACGTGCAAAAAAGGAAGCAAGGGTTTCATGGGTGTCATTGCAGCAAGCAGAAGAAAGTTTTTTTCGTCAGAGATCCCGTATCAAGTGGCTATCTGAAGGAGACTTAATACTCCATTTTCTAGAAATGGATCGAATGCGGTGAGGTACCTTATTAGATTGGATGGGTCGAGAGCTGATACCACTAAAGATATCCATGTTCATGCGGTGGATTATTTCTCAGGCATTCTCGGTAATATTAGAGGTCAGTTCTGCCCAGAGCTTCCAGACTTCCTTGAATCTTTTAACCTTCCATCCATCTCGGCGTCTCAGCAAGAGTCTCTTCTTGCACCTGTAACCAAAGAAGTGATTCAGGACTCTCTTAGAAGAATTCCCTCTAGTAAAACTCTGGGCCCGGATGGTCTCACCGCTGAGTTTCTTAGAGCGGCCTGGAGTATTATCGGGGAAGAGCTTTCAGCATCGGTGATTAACTTTTTCTCCAGTTCCTTCATGCCTTCGGCTCTCAACTCCACCTCTCTAGTTCTGCTTCCCAAAAGACCTGGTGCTGAAGAATTAAAAGATTTTAGACCGATCTCCTGTCTTAACACGGTCTACAAGCTGATTACTCGGATTCTGGCTGATTGGCTAAAGGATATCATGCCTTCTCTGGTGGATCTGAATCAGACAGCTTTTTTCAAGGATATGCTCCTCCTGGAGAATGTATTGCTTGCCTCTGAGGTATTAAATGGATATCACCGGGACTCTTCTCCTGGTAAATTCACCCTGAAGGTGGACATATCTAAGGCTTTTGACTCAATCCATTGGGACTTCATTTTGAGCTCTCTTCAGGCGTAAAACTTCCCTTTTGCTTTCATTGACTGTGTTAATCTTGTGTTGGCATCCCATCTTTCTTGGTAAGTATCAATGGCACTACCTCCGGTTATTTCAAAGGGCGATCTTGGCTTAGACAAGGAGATCCACTCTCTCCTTCTCTTTTTGTATTGGCAATGAATGTTCTCTCAATGATGCTTAATAAAGCTGCCGCAAGTGGTGTTTTTCAGTATCATCCAGGCTGTGAGGAGTTGCAACTCACTCACCTTTCATTTGGGGACGATCTCCTCATTTTCTTGGACGGCTCTCTTCAATCTATGGATGGTGTTTTCTCTGTGCTTAATCGTTTTGAGGAGTTGTCGGGTCTTGCTGTTAACATCTCGAAGACGTCGTTATTTTGCTCAAGAATGGAGGAAGTAACCTTAGGGAAAATTCATCAAAGGTTTAATCTTCCCCTTCATCTCTGCCTATCTGGTATCTAGGTCTTCCTCTTTGCACGAAGAGGCTTTCAGTGGTTGATTGTGATCCGCTTTTAGCTCAGATCAGAAGGAAGTTTCATAGTTGGACTGATCGCCTCCTTAGTTTGGCGGGTTGGTATACTTTAATCTCCTCAATCATCTCGGGGATTATTGGGTTTTGGAGTGCTGCCTTTTTTATCCCCAAGAAGGTCGTTAGTAAGATCAATTCGATGTCCAGTGCGTTCCTTTGACATGGTACCACAGACTCGGCTAAAGGAGCGAAGGTCTCCGGGATCGATATCTCCTTTCCTAAGAAAGAAGGGGGTTTAGGTCTGCGTACTCTTTCATCGTGGAACGAAACTTATGGCCTCAAGCTTATCTGGATGTTGTTCTTCCGTGCGGGATCAATATGGGTGGCCTGCATCCAAAACAGGTACCTCTCCTACTCCACTTTTTGGGCCTTGAATGAAACAAATTATGGGTTCTCTTGGATGTTTAGGAGACTTCCGAGGTTACGTAAGCTAGCTTGCTCGTTTCTCAGAATTATCATCGGAAATGGTGACGACACCTTCTTCTGGTGGGATCCGTGGACTCCTTTTGGTTTGCTGATCCATTTCTTTGGGCCATCTGGCCCTTCTCTCCTTGGCATTCCTCTCTTCTCGACGGTTAAAGAGAGTCTTTCTCCATCTGGTTGGAACATTCCTCCTGCGAGGACAGAACAACAATTGCTCCTCTATGCCTTCATCACTACAATCTCGGTCTCTTCTTCTAGTGATAAAGCAGAGTGGAGAATTGGGAACGAGACGCAGAAAGAGTTCTCCTCGCGGAAGACTTGGAATTCTATTAGGATTATCAAGCCTCCGGTTTCGTGGTGTGATCTGGTTTGGCATAAAGCAAGAATTCCAAAACATGCTTTTACCACCTGGTTATTTGTTCTTGATCGGAACCCAACTTTTGATCGCTTGGTTAGGTGGGGTTGTGATGTGGAACAGACCTGCCTACTCTGCGGTGTTCACGCTGAATACATGGATCACCTCTTTTTCCAATGTATTTTTTCAGCTGAGGTGTGGCGGAAATGCGTTGAAAGGCTTCACATTCTTTCTCCTCCCATTGACTGGGAGGAAATCCATATTTGGTTGCCTTTGGCCTCGTCCAACAAGGATCAACGTTTGGCTATTTTTCAAGCGTGGCAAGCTTGCATTTATGAGATCTGGCATGAAAGAAATCGTCGGAGTCATGATGGTATTTCCTTCCCTCCGACAAGGATTGTTCACCTCGTTCTGAATGCGGTCAAGAACCGTGCTCACAGTTTCTGCTCTCTGAATCCAGACTATGTCTCGCTGCTGCTTTGCTGGTCTGATCCTCCTTAGCCAGCGGTTTTTGCCTCTGTGGCGCCTCTGTGGTGCTCCCTCCTCTTTCTCCTATTCTACTATCTCTTTTCTATAATATATATGTAATAGAGGAGTGGTTTCCTCAGGTTCCTGTAAAATATTTCATTTGATTTATTCAAGCAAGTCCTTTGTCAAAAAAAAGAAGTTCAGATCCAAAGATAATAAAATCTTTTCTCAAAAAAAAAAAAGATCCTAAGATAATAGACAAAATTATTTTTCTAATAATTTACTAAAACATTTAGAGAAAATTCTAAATTTTGTCAACTTATTTTCCAGTGATTTAAATGTTCAAAATGTTTTTTCTAAAACCCACATTTCTAAGTTTTTTTATAAATAATTTCTAAAAATCATCTCCAATGGAACTGCATAACACCAAATTTGATTTGAAATCATCTTCAGTGGAACTGCAAAATTAACATTAATTTAATGTATTTGGAGTTTTTGTTACAGTGTTACACCAAATTTGGTGTGATTAGACTATCTCCTAAACACTAAATTTGGTATTGTGAATAGTGTTAAATTTGGTGTTTGGGTGAATAGTATCTTTTTTCATCTCTAACCACAACACCAAATTTCACATTAAAAATATTTTTAAAATTAGATTCTTAAATTTAAACTTTTTTATTGTTAATAGTTTTGATAAATACTAATTATTTATATAATAAATTAACTATAAATTATATATAACAGTACCAAAAAATTATAATTGATACATTTTTCCAAGTTTATATTTGATCCTTAATTTTTCTATGTCAAGTTAAATATATTAATTATAATTAAATTTTCATATTAATTACACTTAAAATTTCATAAATGATAAAATAAAAAGTTATGATATATTAACTATAGTTATAAAATTTAATCAATTAATAAATAATATAATATTCATTATAATAAAAAGTAACAATAAAATATTATTATTATTTTAGAGTTCTGTGAAATGCCACACCAAATTTGGCATTGTACTATTCATAAAATTCTAAAAACAAAATATGATGTTGGAGATGGAGTCCCATTGGAGATGTAAGAACTCCATAATTAAAGATATAGAATCAGATTGGAGTTGCTCGTATAGCAATCCAAAACTTAATATTTTTTTTATTTTATTTCTGGTTTTAGTAATATTATACACTGAAATACTATATTTGATTATACTAAAGTATAGAAAATTTGTATTATAACAATATGATTAAATTTTATAACTAAAACAAATAAAATATATCATTAGCATTGTTATGTTTTTAATCTTTTAACTTTAATTAATATGAAATATTAGTTTATATATAATCTAAAATATTACACAAATTAATTAAAATATTTGATAAATTTCAATTAAAATATTGGAAAAATAAAATTACAAAATTAAAAACAAAAAAATAAAAATTAATATTTTGAATATTCAGCTTATAGTTAATTAGCTATAAAATATTTAATATTTATCAAAACTATTAAAAAAATCTTTAATTTCATAATATAATAATATAAAATATTATTGACAAAAATATAAAAATTATTATTTTAGTGTGATATTTGGTGTTGGGATTAGAGATGAAAAATATTTGTGACATCCTAACACCAAATTTGGTATTATGGTTGGAGATGCCTTTAAGTCTATGATTTTATTCAATTGTTATTAATATTGATATTTTAATTAAAGAGTTTTTGATAAGCACTGAAAATTATTTTCAGTTTTTGTTTCTGGCTAATCTATAGAGATCTTAACGAATTAAAGAAAACTTTATTTATTCGAGAATTCATAGACTAAACAAATAATTTTACGATTATCCTAGTTTTTCAGGTATTTTAGAATCAATAGATTACTATTCTATCTATTAAAACTTCTGCTACATCAGCAATTCCCTTCACAAACCAAACGACTTTGCTCCATGATTGCTTACTGCGGGACGACCTTAATTGTGTCCAGGTCTTTGCAGTTGAGAAACATGATTTAAAATCAGTGGATGAATGGTGCCACAACACTCTGTTCGGCCCATCAGAGGGACTTGGCAGAGGTGTCACATGAATAAGACTATAGAAGAGATCATATGTTGTACATCTAATACGCTATGAAGGTGATGTAACCGTATATAAGACTTTAACAAAACGCCTTATTCGCTTCTTTTTTTTTCCTACACAACGAGTCATATTTTTTTTTGTGTCGTGCCCACTTTTTTGTTTAAACTTCGAACCCAACAGTAACATTTAAAATTTTGAACTTGACCAATGAATTCTTGTGAAGGTGCATATTTTCTAGGTTCACACATACAAAATTCACGTGTTATTTCTGAGGAATAATCTGAAACACTTCTTTGAAAAACTATTTATTCAGACGTAGACCTCTTCATTCTCTCGGACCCCTCACGGGTCCCTAACTTTTTAATGAACTTGGAAATGTTGAATTAGTCCTTGTAATTTTCTATAGAAGAAAATTAGAAATAGAAAAAAGCCAATGATAATTAAGCGTTGATGAACCAATGAAAACAGTTTACCAAATTTCGGCCAATGAGATATAAGCACAACTAGCCAATCAGAAACGAGCGTCTAGAAAATTGACCAATCAGGAGGGTGTAGATGAATATTAGGCGCCAAAAATTTATCCAATCAGGAAGAGATCAGGAACAGAGCTTTGTGGACCATCTTTAAACCATCTTTGACCAGCTTCCTCTCCCATCGATCCCGAGAGAGAGAACGAGAGAACAATCGTCGAGTCTTTCTTGACATTTTGCTGCACTGATCCGACATTGAAGGCTAATCGAGGTAATTGACATATCTGTGGTTGGATTATATTACCTCGTTTTGATTTTGGGAAGTCGTTGCGCTAGAACCACTATTGGGGATTAAATTCGATTATTGAATAGGAATTGTAGACTATGGAAATGGCGATTGGTTGCTAATCGGATGGGTATTTAGTGGATTGTATGTTTAGATGTTATATTGCAGTAAATGGGAGTTAGATTAGAGTATTTTCCCGGAGTGAGAGGAGGACGAGAGAGAGTAACGATTGGTATCACTTGCGTACAATTGCAAACAACTGGAAACATGGTATCACTTGCGTACAACTGGAAAGTCCAATTTTTATGCAATTGAGTGTGGTGTATGTGTTATTTTTTCAGGTGATAATGATTACGAACTTATTTTTCGATTACGGGGGATATTATTCAACTTCGGAGGATAAATGGATTTCAGCACTAGCTTCTATGCATGGTGTAATGTTTAAGTCATCAACTTTGGAGGAGATTACTTATTCTGGTTTAATGGATAAGATATGTGCGAAGGTTGGGATTGTCGAATCTTCGAGTAAGCTGAAACTGAGTTACATTCCGATACTAGTGCAAACTCAGAAACAATTCTATATTTTGAATGATGATGACCTAGCTGTGTTCCTGACCTCATTGGATAAAGATGGACGCAGAAGTATTATTCATGTAGAGGTCATCAAAGGTGTTGAAGTTGGAGAGGAATTTTCAAGAGTTGAGAGGGTAAGTTCAGTTGGTATCAATTACGGGGGGTTGCATTTAGGTAATGGTAGATTAAATAATGGTGTACTTGCTATTTACGCAGGCAACTGTTCAGCAGAACAACATCAACAGAATGTCCCGGTGATAGAGGAACCTGATGATGATGATGTTGACGAGGGAAAAGAGGGTGATGATGTAACACGTGACAATGAAGAAGGTGGTGATGATGTATCATGTGACAATGGAGTAGATGATGGCAATGGAGTAGATGATGATAAAGCGAAGTTTGATAACAAGGAGAAAGAATACAGACGGTTTGATTTTGATGATGGTCCCCGTGCTGAAGTAGAAACACAACATTTTGAATGGGATGATGGTATGAATCTGAGAGTAGGGCAACAATTTGCATTTAAACAAGATTTGATAGATTTATTTTATAGAGCTTCACATCAATTGTTTTGGTCTGAATATTAAGAATTCAGATAAGAAGCGATACGTGGTGTAATGCGGTGAAACAGGGTGTAATTGGTATTTACGAGCTTGGAAGGATGCAAATACACCCTGTTTTCTGTTACAGTATACCGGAAGATGCATAGTTGTTCTCGGGGCAGTGCGAGTACAAACAGCAAACAAAGGAAAGGAACACCAGGATTAGTAGCATCTATTGTTAAGGAAGCGTATCCAGATCGATTAGATACACCAACTCCTCACGATGTCATGGTTATGGTTAAAAATAATGCTTCTGTGAGTGTGTCAAACTCTACCGCATGGAGAGGAATACAGAAAGCTAAATCTCTGATTCGTGGTTATCTTGAAGACAGCTATATAGATCTGTACTCGTATTTGTACATGCTAGAGCAGGTGAATCCATGTACAAAACACAATGTGTTACTGGACGGACAACGAAGACTCAAGTTCTTATTTGTCGCTTTGGGAGCTTCATTGACGGGTTTGTAGCAATGAGGAAAGTGGTAACTGTTGGTACAACTTTTTTGAAAGCCGGAATGGGTTGTCAGCTAGTCTTTGCTGCTTGTCAGGATGGTAATCGTCACCATTATCCGATTGCTTTTGGAGTAATTGATACAGAAAAAAATGACAGTTATGACTGGTTTTTCAGGGAGTTGAAAACTGTTATACCCGATAGTCCTGAATTGGTTATTGTTTCTGACAGAAATGTAAGCCTCATCAATGCAGTAGCTGAGGTTTACCCGGAAGCTAAACATGCGTATTGCATCTGGCATCTGAGCCAGAATGTGAAATTGCAAGTTTTAAGGGATATAGAAATAGTTGCAGTAAAATTCAGGGAGTGCGCAAGACAGTATACAGAGACCGAGTTTCTTGATCATTATACGAAGATGGCATTAAAGTATCCTAAAGTGACCGAGTATCTAGAGAGGCGTGTAGAAGTATGGAAATGGGCAAGGTGTTATTTTCCAGGAGATAAGTACAACCTAGAGACTAGTAACATTGTGGAGTCCTTGAATACTGTATTTAAGGATGCAAGGAGGCTATGCTTATTACCTATGGTGGATAAGATTGTTGCGAAGTTGTGTGAGTGGTTTAACAAGCATAAAAACGAGGCTGCTTCTACGCCACCAAGACGTAAACTGGTGGCTTTTGTTGAGAATATATTTCACAGTAGATGGGCTGAAGGGAAGAGGCTAACTGTCACCGAGTTAAACATCAGTCAAATTGAATACAGTGTAATCGGAAGCGATGGGATGAATTACACGGTTAACTTGAAAAGTAAAACTTGCTCGTGCAAATGGTTTGATATAGACAAGTATCCTTGTGTGCATGCCTTCGCTGCACATGAGCATTACATGAAGCGGCCAGACAGAGAAGAAGATATATACGTAGAAGACTTGTGTTCAACGTATTATTTAACTGAGCAGTGGGCTTTTGCTTATAACAGAACGATCTATCCAATTCCACACAAGTCACACTGTATTGTCCCCGATGATATAAAGCAATTGACTGCTTTAACCCCGGAACACGAGAAAAAGAGGGGGGGGGGGGCAAAACAGCAGAAAAATGGCGAGCGTCAACTGAAGTCTAAGAAGACAAAGACGAGTAATAAGAGTCGCCCTGAATCTTATGGAATTTATTCCTATTTTACTGCATGTCAAAGTGCTGGAGCTGAAAATGCTACAGGTGCCTCTGAAAGTACTGCAGGTGCCCTTGAAAGTACTGCAGGTGCCTCTGAAAGTACTGCAGGTGATAACGTGGTTTAGTTACTCTGAACTCCTGTAATTGGAGATGTGATGTTTTACTCGGCATTACTTGGTACAACTACAGTCGACTATTGAATTTGGAAATATGATATTTTACGATTTTTGAAAAAAAAATGAAACAAAGAAATACAAACGACGTGTCGTTTCGTTTTCCAACGGCGACTGCAAGAGTTTTTAGGGAGTTGTGACCTCTTTTATTTAACATAGACCCAAGAAGTATCTGAAACACATTTCGTCTCCTATGGCAAAGCAAGTAGGGATTTATGATTTGCCCATCGAGATGAAAACCGAAATACTAAAGAATATAATCATTAATTGCGTACAAAATTACTGTTCTGCTAAAGTGGCCCTTAGGGATTTTAACAAAATCTCCAAGGATCCAATCTTCCTACGGAACGTGGATCTGTTAAGCGTGCCCACACCTTGGGTCTTTGATATGGCATGGATGAGAATGTTTAAGGAAAGATGTTTGGCAGCAGGTAATCCAACGACTTTATTTGAAGGAGGTCTTTCAATTATTTTCTATGACCGTAATATCGACGCAGGGATGGCTATGATTAAGGAGTCAGCGGAAGCGGGATGCTCTATGGTTAAATACTGCCACAAAATGCTTGTCCTCATCATGTCCAGATGCGAAGTGAGTTTAACATCTGTGACAGATATTATCCGGGCGGAGGCAGTACAAATGCTTCGAACAATGGAACATTCAAGCCCGAGGGGTTTCAACGCTAACCCTCCGCAAGTGTTTGAAGAAAATGTTAAATTTAGTTTTTCACAAAGCTTGTAACTTGCACTGCGGAAACATGGACTTACCCCACAATTGTCTTGTTATATACGGATTCATGGAGGAACCTACCAATATGTGCGATACTTGCTACTGGACAATGCAGGCGGCAAAATTCAGTCAAATTGTTACGAGGTTTGCGAAGGAATGGCCAAATTGATACCATCACTGTTCTTCGCGAAGGAGTGGCATATCTATTGTTCTCTCTCTCAAATCGATGTTCTCAGAAGTTCAATGGAAAAATCGAAGTGTTTGTTGTTACTTAGACTATTTATTTTCTATTAGACAATTTATTTTCTATTAGACAATTTGTAAACAATGCTAAAAAATAAAATAAAATGATGTGTTGCTTTTAAGTGTATCAACAATGTAAATGTTTAGTTTTGGTAAGGAAAACTTGGTATAACTACGCTCTAGTTATAATGTTTAGTACGGACATTTCTTATTTTGTCCAACACAAATAATTGTGAACTGGGGAGGAGAAGCAAGAGCGAAAAAGTTGTGAAAAAGAAAAGTGAAAATAGTACTTTAAAATCAGAGAATGTCGTGTAAAAGTTAAAAACCCGATGGAATGTTCGTCGGAAGAAGAGAAAGGTGATCATGTGTCAAGTAAAATATTATTATAATAACAAGAAATAAGATTACAAGAGACCCATTTCCAGGTGACGTCGTTTTGAAGAAGTTAATCAACCCTTAACCACCAATAGACCATTTAAACCGATTTCATAATTTGGAGATGGAAAAATACGACCACGATAATAATCAGTATTTTAAAATATGGTCGTTTTCATGCTAACACTTATCAGGGACTAGTAAACATGGTTTTAAAATACTAAAAATAATGAAGAAATAATACGAATTTCACCACATCCGACACATAAGTGTCAATCTCCTTCTATAGTCACATTGTCAAGCTTAGGCCATCAATGATGGAGAATACGTATCATTCTTTTTCTCGAATTTTTTTGGATGAACAAGTTGATAATTTGATTTTATAACCAATTATGAAACGTATAACCGGAATATATTCTTTCAAATTTAGTATTACTGCGAATACGATACATCCACCAAAAGTACAACTATGTGGACGATGAGTATAACTGGAAAACAAGGCACAACTACGTTTTAAATTCCTAGTTACAATAAACGATATGTGTCCATAATAAAATAAATTATGTCAGCCACACGTGAGTTACGACAGGTGTTCTTTACCTGAACACGTGTCTATGTGTCAGGTAAAATATTATTATAATAATAGAAAATAAGATTAAAGGAGACCTGTTTCCAGGTGACGTCGTTTTGAAGAGGTTAACCAATCCTTAACCACCACTAGACCAATTTAAACCGATTTCATAATTTGGAGATAGCAAAATACGATCATGATAATAATCAGTATTTTAAAATATGGTCGTTTTCATGCTAACACTTATCAGGGACTAGTAAACAGGCTTTCAAAATACTAAAAATAATGAAGAAATAATACGAATCTCACCACACCCGACACTTAAGTGTCAATCTCCTCTTATAGTCACATTGTCAAGCTTAGGCCATCAATGATGGAAATAATATGTATCATACTTTTCTTCGAATTTTGTTTGATGAACAAGTTGATAATTTGATTTTATAACCAATAATAAATCGTATAACCGATATATATTCTTTCAAATTCAGTATTACTGCGAATACGGTATATCCACCAAAAGTACAACTATGTGGACGATGTATATAACTGGAAAACAAGGCACAACTACGTTTTAAATTCCCAGTTACAATTAACGACATGCGTTTTCACTTGAACACATGTCTTATTGGGTGGAACAAATAGATTCCACTACAATTATTTATTATTTCCCGGGTTTATCCACGAAACTCAAATTTGTTTTTCCCTCCCAAAACATACATTTCCAATTTTGAGTTTCTCCCCCAAAACAGACATTTCCCAATTTGAGTTTTTCCCCAACATCAAAATTCAATAAAATATCTGGGTTTAAGCACAAAACAATCAAAACACAAAACATTCAGTTTTTTGCAAAATAACAATCTCTTGCAAGAATGCCAAGTTTCGACTCGTCGTCCAACTCGGAGATTTCAAGCGGGAGCCCTCCACCCGAATTGTACGAAGATTCTCGAATCCCGCGATTCTGTTATTGTCATCGTAAACCAATCATCAAAACTTCCCACACGTTTTGGATCCGGGAAGAAGATTCTTTGCTTGCAATAAGGAATACATAAGGCAAGTTCAGTTGTTGATTGCTTTTAATTTCGTACCAAAAATATTTATACGGTTTGTGTCTTGTAGAATCCCATATGTCATCTCTTCAAGTGGTGTGATGAGGCGATGCTAGAAAAAATTGCAGATGTTCGGCATGATTTGACCGAGATGCAAGGCCGGAGTGGTTGGACTAGATCCATGAACCGGATTCACTAGATGGAGATTTCCCAGCTACAGGAATCGGTAAACAACCTGAAGGAGGAAATGGTTGAGGCAAAGAGGTCTCGTGCTCTCCTTTATGAGGTGGTTTGTGACTGGGTTTTGAAGGAAATGGATAGGGAATTGGAACAGACGCGACGAACTAGGATATTTAAGGAAGTTAAGGACATAGTTGTTCTATTTGTTCTTGTTGTGGCCTCGGTTTCTTTAACTATACATGTTCAAGTAGTTACGATTCATTGTTCTACTCAAGACTTACTCAAATTTCCGAAAAACATGTGGTTTCACTAAATTATACTGAGTATTACATATTTTCGATTTTCGGGAAAACATGTGGTTATACCAAATGATACCGAATATTACATATTTTCGATTTTTGGGAAAACATGTGGTTACACCAAATGATACCGAGTATTACATATTTTTGATTTTTGGGAAAACATGTGGTTACACCAAATGATACCGAGTATTAAATATTTTTGATTTTCGGAAATACATGTGGTTACACCAAATGATACCGAGTATTAGGGTTTCCTTATGTATCGACTGAGATAATATAGTGGATAGAATAACACAAAGAATTATAATAATTTTTTTTTGTAAATAAATATATTACAGACATAATTTTTATATAATAAAATATTTTACAACGAAAAATAGTAAAACATAAAATTCATTATTTTATTGTGAAAACGCCATGAATTAATCCATGGCGTGTGCCTCGGTCATCAGGCGGGCCTCCTTCTTGAACCTCTCCGGTTCCAAGATGCACATGCGTGCGACGTCTGCGAGGTAGTTGTCCTCTTCCTCCACCTTAGGGTGAAGCAGCATGTCGATGTTGGGGTGCAGAATCAGCGTCTTCCACGACACCATTGGTGGCTTGAAGGGGTACTCTGATGGGACATGGATGGAGATGAAGAAGATGCCCCCTTCGTATGGTTTACTAGGGGGGCCCAACAGCGTTTCTTGCCATTCGTAAATGTCTTCTGCCACCGGCCCTGCACCAAACCCACTCACCGGAAACCGCAGCAACTCCCTCAGATGAGTCATGATCCATGTCTTAGGGGCCATTTTGAAGTGATACAGAGAGCAAAGATAGCACTAAATAGAGAGAAGAGGATTTAGAAGATAGATATGAGTGAGAGAGAGAGAGAGAGCGAGTTATATTTATAGAAAGAGAAAGGAAAATCCTAGGGTGCGACTCATATAACAAATACCCTTCAACCGTTCAGCCTTATCAGCGGAGAAGTTAAAAGTTACATCTTTCTCTCACCTAATACACCCGAAAAGATTTATTTACTTAATGTATTGGTAAAAATCAAATACAGTGTTGGTAGTTGTACCAGTCTTATGGCTGTTAATGCTTTAACAGCCGTAAGACTGGTACAACTACCAACACTAATGCAACGATTAGACACGCGGGATTGCCTCTTTCCTCTATTTCCATCATAGCAACAGAGCTATACGAAATATAAATCCTCTCAGGTGATAAATCCAGAGTATCCAGTATACTGAGTAAATTTTCTATACCCCGGGGGGGGGGAGACTTCCCCCTCTATTGGGAAGTCTAAAAAGAGCATACAATTGCCCCCTCTATGTTATTCCTTAAGAACTCTACTTCAGGAATCTCGTCAAGTAGGCACGACCGTGT